TGACCATTGCCGCACCACCGTCACACTTGAACCACCACCACTGCAAAATCTCGTTGAAAAATCAAGAAAGTCATTTTCTGTAGCTTGTGCAATTTTGCCACATCACTCAACTCTTACACAATCAAACTTAAAATTGATTTCATAGCAAGTACGTTGAAGAAAAAATGAAGGTTGTATCTGGGAACACTTTTTCAAACTAATTAAAATCATTTTTATAGCCGTTAACAGCAAACCAACAGCAATAATTGACTGCTCCACTCACAGCTAAGGTCCAGAAATTGACTGCAACGGTCCAATTTTTCCATTACAACGATTAGAATTACAATTAAAATTTCAACCAGACACACGCGAAGTTTTTCACTATAATTATTCTTCATCAAATTATAACAAACCTACATTAAAAATTCAAACTCTGTTTGGTATCCATTCTTTTTTTCATTCTCATTCTTCTACTAATTTTCAACGACACATTCATCAATAAAATAATATTTTCCATCACATCAATAACTTTTCCTTCATTTTCAACCACAAAAAAGGTGTGATTTGATACAAAGAATGCATTTTTTTAAAGAAAAATGGTTACCAAATTTTGATAATTTAATTTTATTGGATAAATAAAAGAACTATCATAAGATCCCTGTATAGCTTAAAACAAATTTAATAAGCAAAACTATGCATAAATTTGTTCTTGCTAAAAGTACAACTACTACAATTCTAGAAACCAATAATCCAAAATCTACAAAATTCTGACAATCAGAAGACAGACCATATCCAGAGTGACGTCCCTTTCTCTTGGCCTCCTTCATTCTGAGAGCACGGGATCGAGAGTGAATCTTGGTTGGCTTCCTGATGATAAAACCATTATTAATCAACTTCCAAATATTTTGTCCTGCATTTCAGGTTTTGAAAATCTTTAATAACATTATCACAGTTCACAACGCTAGATGCTTATTAAATTGTGCCAAAAAAGAGCTATTGAATTCTTCAGAAAAAATGTATATCAAACTCAGAAACAATGCACAACACAAGTCAATAAATGGTACATCCAGCAAATTCTAGTTCAATGCTTGAAGGTTCAGAAAATAGAGCAAACATTCCATAACAGGACTGAGATTCATTTATCACAAGAATTTCAACAAAAACTTTATATGCATCTAAAAACAAAAAACATGTATAAATAAAAATAATCCTAATAATTTATCTCATGTTTGGCTTTGCTGCTTTAGACGAAGAAGCTGCTTGGGTTTATCACCAATAGTAGCTAAAAGAATGTTCTTTTGGCAGTAAAAAGGGTCTTAACTTCTAACTGACAACAGAAGCAAGCTTTTAGTTACTTTAGTAGCAAAGAAACAGTGACAAAACATGTTGATCATAGGCCGGTCTAACTTATTATTTCATATCACTTACTCCAAATAACCAACAAAGTGCTTCGATCGAATCTTATAAAAACAGTGAAACTGTACATGTATTTCCACACCATAAACAGCAACACTAAGTGTCAAAAATTGAACAGATAAACTACGTTTAATGATAAATTTAACAACAAAATTAAATTAAACTTATTGATATCTTATTATACAATATACAAGGAAAAAATTCAATCGCTAAAACGCGATTATTAAGAAGTTATTAAACGAATCAAATCGATTGGATCTTCATGAAATGATTACGAAGAGTACTTATCCTAAATATATACAAGCAGATACTTGTATGTATTTATAATTGAGGTAGGAGATGAAAGCGTACGGGAATTGGCCTTGTAGATTTCACTGACTTCATTGGGGTCAACCCAGACCTTTCGTTTGCCGCACTTGAGGACGCTGGCGGCGAGCCGCTTCTGCAGCTTCAGCGACACCATTTTCTCGGGTAAAATAAATGATTGGTAACTAAACTTTAGTTTGTGTAACTGAGTGCTAATCGAACTTTAAAATGTAACTCAATACTCACTCAAATATAATAAATGTAACTCATCCATAACTGAGATGGAATTCGTTTGACGCCTTTGACGGAATTATTCATGTGGTGGATGGAAATCTGATGTGACATTATTTAACCGTTAAAACACTCCACGTCAACAAATTACTCTTCCAAACAGCCCCTAACACTACTAAACAATTGACAACACGTTTATTAACATTGGAGAGGATTAAATCTTCACTCCCAAATCCTAACTCTAATCCAAATATTCATTTTTCTCCTGTAACAAAAAATTTCTTCAATCTTCACAAAACAAAGAAACCCTACTCTTTCCATAAATTTCTTGGATATGGGTGACCCAAATACTTTCGAGTTTGAAGACACCATGAATGAAAATGGATTTTTGCAACCACGTGGACCACTAGAAGGTATATGTTAAGCCCCATATTTTGTAAATCTTAATTTAATGTTTTTTTATTGAACCATATATAATAAATTTTTTTTTTT